CCTGGGATCAGCAGGTGCGTATGTTCCTGTGTGAGCCTTGTGTGTTTCATGTGACCATCCCTGTGCTGTGAGTGGCTGTATGTGCATGTCTCATGTGACTTTCCTAGTGCTGTGGCAGGTGTGTGTATGATATGTGACCATCTCTGTGCCGTGACAGATATGTGTGTGATATGATACCATCCCGTGCTGTGGCAGCACTTGTCCCACCCGAGTGCCTGGCTGATCTGGGTATTCTGTTCTCTCCAGGCAGGCCCTGCAGGGTCTGTAGGGAACTTGGTCACGGGAGGGTGGCAGAGTACAGGACTGGGGCTGTGCTGGGCCTTGCTGGCTGGGGTTCTGCGGAGTGATGTCACTCCGCTGCTGAGTGTGGGCAGAAAAGGGCAGGGAATTGGCCACCCTTCCAGGAAGTGGACGGGTAGGTGTGGGGAGGGGAGTGTGTTGGGAATGCGGTGTCTGGAAGGCTCCTTTTCTAGGCAGGGACTTGGTTGAAACCTGGGGTGACACTGAGAGGGTCTTCAGGGGTCTCACTCCCCACAGTCCCATCTCCCTGGAGCCTTCTTGCTTCCTCCTCCTCAGCTAGTCCTGGGCCTTTCTCTTGGGCCCCATTGTTCCCCTCTCCTGCTTAGAACACAGTGGGGGCTTCAACAGCACCCTATGCTGGGTGGCTGCCGAAGCTGCAGACTCAGGCTGTGCTTCCTCATAAGGTCGCAGGGTGGCAGGTCCTACCTCTAGTCTAGCCAGAGCCCTGCTTGCTGCCCTGCAAGTTCTTCTGGGTCATATAGGGCTGGAAGCACCTGGCAGGGCTGACTGTGTGGCCTCAAGGACCACTGTTCCTCCAGGTCATTATACCCAGATGGCTCTGTTCCCTTCCTTCCCCAACCACCACATTGGAGCTCTGCACCAATGTCACACCATGGGCGTCATATCAAGGATGTCACACCATGTCACATCAGGGATATCACACTGGGGCATCACACCACGCCGCATCAGGGATATCAAACCACGTCACACCAAGAAAGACACATTATGTCACACTGGGGATGTCACACCATGTCACATTGTGTCACACCCCATCATACCATGTCACATTATGCCACACCATGTCGCTTCACATCACACCAGGGATATCACTTCGCGTCACACCATGTCACATGACACTAGGTATATCACATCATGTTACATGAGAGACATCATGTCACATTGCATCAGCCATGTCATACCATGTCACATTATGTCACATTGTGTCATTTCACATCGCACCGGTGATGTCACATCATGTCACACCACGTAGCTGTAACACCAAGGGCTTCTGTATGGGAGCTGCCTGTAATGTTGCCCTGCTGGAGAGTCCCTGGAGGGGCTTCAAGGCTGGGGGTGGTTTCCTGTGGAAGATATCTTAGCTGGAGGCTGATGCTTGGTCCAGGTGCTAGACAGGGAGAGGCACCTCAGGGAAGGGCTGGTTTCCTCGGGGGAGCTGGGTCCTGGTGCCTGGGACCCATAGGAGGCAGGGCTGCAGGAAGCGTGGCCCCTGGGTCCATGGAATGGCTGGCACCCAGCACTGCCTAGTTCTTCTCTCAGCCTGGCCAGGCTGTGTACCCGCAGGACAGAGGACCGGAGTCTGTCACACCAACCCCCAGATCCCCGAGGGCCCTGTGGTGGGGAGAGGGTGGGAGCCTGCCCAGCAGTGTCTCCAAGGGCTGGCACATTCTCTGGACAGAGCACCCCAGCAACTCTGGGATGCCATCCTTGGGTTGGGATGGGGCTAGGCAGTCACGCCCAAGCTTCCTGCACCCCAGGGCTCTCCTGCGCTTTGGCGGCTGTACACTATGTCCTGAGGAGTTAGAGGACCCCAGCCCAGGCCTGGGTCCTTTGGAGCCCACCATCCAGTGAACATCGATCTAAATCTGCCACGGAGTCCTGTGGCAATGCAGGACCTGGAATTCTACCCTCCCTTCTGATGCAGTGACGCCACCAAATAGAATCCAACCACTACCCTTTCCCATGTAAAATGGCCTCTCTCGTGCCACAGGGGGCTCCCTCAACATTCTCATGTGGCTTCTGTGGCTGCTGAGGCCTCACAGACAGGACCTTTTCCTGCCCCGACTCCAGTCGGGCTCTTTGGAGCCTCTGCCCACCCAGTCTTGACCTTGGCGTAGGGAGACTCTGACAGACACGAACCATTTCTGGTGGTTCCAGGCCCACTCTGCCCAACCTGCCCATCAGTGCCTGCTTGGGAAAGTTCCATGAGCTGGAACCGCCTGTCCTCTCCAACCCAAGCCACTTGCTCAGAGTGTCTGAGCACAGGGCTGAGTTGTGAGTCCTCTGTCCCTTTGCAGTGACCCTGGGTCTGCTCCACCAGGAGCATCTGTCTCGGAGCCTGAGAGCTGTTCCTTGAAGCATCCTCACCACGAGGGAGGGTGCTGTGTCGCTCTGGAGGACAGAGTTCCGACCTCAGCAGGGTCCCGCATGGATGCAGTCGGCCCACCTGGGGACAAGGCCAGTGCTGGGTGACTTCACTTCCCTGACTGGCCCCGGCCTGAGCACCCTCCTGGTTGCTCCTTCTCCCTTTGGTGGGTCTGTTACTTCTGCTCAGATGGAGGGTGAGTTTGGGTCATGTTGGGCCTTTTTCCTACTGTCATCGTTATTTATGCTTACAATCCACCCTTGCAACTTTAACTAGGGTCCAGCTTTGCTTGTCTTTAAAAATGCCTCTCTCCACCTCTGTCCCCTGCCTGGTCCTCGTTCCTGGCACCCAGCAGGCCTCCTACGGGCTGAAGTTTTACTCCAAAGTGAGTCATGTCCCAAGTTTCACCCATACTTAAGGGATGTTGAGATGGTAGGAATGAATTTTACATGTGAGAAAGACATGAACTTTGAGGGCCAGAGGGTGGACTGTAATGACTTAAATCGTGTCTCCCTACAAACTCATATGCTGAAGTTCTGACTCCAGTTTCTCAGAATGTCACTGTTTGGGGACAGGGTCTTTACAGAAGTAAGTTAAAATGGGGACATCAGTGTGGGCCCTGATGCAATTGGATGGGGCCCTTATAAGAAGAGGAGATTAGGACACTGACACTCACAGAGGGAGCACCATGTGGGGACCCAAGGAGAAACTGGCATCTGCAAGACAAGGAGAGAGGGTTGGGAGGAACCAGTCTTGCCGCCACCTCAATCTTGGACTTCGACCTCCAGGTTGTGAGAAGACCAGTGTTGCTGTCTGCGCTGCCCGTCCATGGAGTCCTTATGGCAGCCTGAGTGGACGGTACATACCTGACACACGCTTCTTGCTTCTGGTTGCAGCTGGTTGTGAAGCTTCTTCGTGTAGTTCTGCCCAGTCATTTGGAGGCCACCCCCAGGTCTCACCCCAACTTTCCCCTGGTCCCGTGAGGCCCTCAGACCCTCTGGTTCCTGTCCACTGCAGAGTAACTGAGGTAGGTAGGTGCTGCCCAGGTGGGAGGAAGAAAATGCATCTGTGTAGGAAAGACGAGGAGACCAAGTGGCCACTGGCCACAATCGGGGATCGGGAAAGGTCATGCAGGACAGGGGGCATGGTTTGCACAAGGAGAGGGCTCCCTGCTCTGGGAACCCTCCCTGGACCCAGACTGCCAGCCAGGCACCCTCCTTCTGACATTGCAGCCCATGGCCTGAGGTGCGTTGACATAGGAAGCTACTTCCCAGCACAGAGTAAAGGATTTTTAGAGGACGTTTAGCTTTTATTTAGAAAAACAAGAGACATTAAAGACAATTACTGGGCTTTAGAAAGTTAAAGAAAAGAGAAAAGCTACCCAAGCTAAAACTGTGGTACTTCCTTTGTGTGGTTTCCTTGAGCTCTATGGTGGTGGGGCCGGGCGCATCTCCCTGCTCGTTTCTCTTCCTGACTGCAGATCCCACGTGCCTGTACCCAAAGAAGGGACAGAGCAGTGGAGCACGGGGGTCCCTGACGGGGGTCTCTATCTAGGGCCTGTAGCCATCTGGCCCTGCTCGCTAAGGCCCCTGTGGACTGGGTTCTCTCCTCGGTCATCTTGTCACCCCTGAGTGACTGGTGGTTCCTACAGCGGGTGCCTCAGGGCCAGGTCTGGCTGTGCTCTCCAGGTGTCTCTCTCCACCTCTCTCCCCTGGTGCTCCTCAGCTCCCTACATTTATGGGACCTACAAATGTGTCTTGCCTCTCTGCAGGAGGCCTGCCTAGCTGCATGCCCATTCCTCCTTGGGTGTTCCCACCCTTGGGCCCACAGCAGCCACGTGGCCCAGGCTCTTCTCTGAGTGCTTCTGTGGCATGGAGCCAGGGCCTGCAGTGTCCTGGGCCCAGCCCTCTTCTCAGTGCAGACTCTGAGGTGGATTGAGTCCCACCTCTGAGAATCTATTGGGGTGAGCAGTGGTCAAGAGGTAGTGCCAGCATGCACTGTCTTCCTGTTCCGTGGAAGACTCCTTTCCAGGAGCAAAGGAACAGTGTTCTTGGCTTGAAATAAAAACAAGTTCACTTCTCAGACCAGCAGTTCACCAGAGTCCCAGGATGGAGCCATGCCAGGCATGGGCTGGGAGGAAGGTGTGACCCCTAACAGCACCTCTGGAAGCTTCCCTGTTAAAGGCTGCTGGCCTGATGACTTCTTAGTCTTGTGGCCCTGCTCAAACATCTGGAAAAATGCGCCAGTATCCGGAAGCTGGCATGGATGGGGTCACCCCTTACTGGGTGGATGCCTAGGATGTTGGCCTCTGTCTCCTCGTGAGTGAGTGCCAGGCTGCTCTGAGGGCAGGGGTGTCCCAGTGAGGGAACACAAAGCCCCCAGCACCCCAGGCAGCTGAGGTCTGAAGTGCACCTGCCCTCAAGGTTCTCAAAGGGGGACAGGCCAGGCATGGCAGGGTCAGAGGTTGACGGCGAGGTCAGAAAGTCATAGGGCCATGGATGGTGAGGTCAGAGGGCAGGTGCGACCTGCATGGCAGCTAAGCATGGTAGGCAGGCTCCTGGGAGGGGTCTAGGCAGTCCTGGATGCCCATGCAGAGGGTGACTCTAGGCCCCCTGCCCAATCATGTTCCTGTAGTCGGGGATGATTGTCTGCTTCAGGTCCACCACCGAAGAGAAAATCCACTTCACCTGCAGGGACAGCATATAGGTAAGTGAGGCCACAACCCTTGGCTCAAGGTCCCCACCCCTCCATGCTCTCAGGTGCCAGGGTCTCACCGCTGGACGTAGAGAGGAAGGCCTTGAAGGGACAGTGTGGGACGCTGTGGGAACAGCATGGGGAACAGCATGGGGACAGTGTGAGGACAGCATGGGGGAGATATTGTGGGATGATAGCATGGGAATAGTGGGGTAGAGTATAGGGGCAGCACAGGGGACAGCATAGGGGACAGTGTCAGGAGCGACATGGTGGCAGTGTGAGGACAGTGTAGGGACTGTGGGGTGACATCATAAGAACACCATGGGTGGAGGCAGTGTGTGTGGAACAAGGTGAGGGGATGGTGTGGTGATAGCACGTGGGGGACAGTGTAGGGATAGTTCTGGGACAGTGCAGGGGACAGTGTCTAGGACAGCATGGGGAGAGTGTGGGGAACAGCATGAAGACAGCTTGGGGACAGTGTGGGGCAGCATGTAGGGAACAGCATGTAGGAGACTAAGTGGGGGACAGAGTAGGGACAGTGTGGAGGATGGCACAAGGACAATGTGGGGGCAACATGGGGAACAGAGTGAGGACAGCATATGGGGACAATGTAGGGACAGTGGGGGAACAGCACAGGGGATAATGTTGGGAACGGTGTGGGGACAGCATAAGGACAGTGTCGGGGACAATGAAGGAACAGTGTGAGGATAGTGTTGGGGACAGTGCCAGGGACAACATGGAGACAGCATGGAAACAATATGGAGACAGCATGGAAACAATATGAAGACAGTGAGGGACAGTGTCAGGAACAACATGGGGACAGTATGAGGACAGTGAGGGGACAGTGGGGGGACAGTGGGGACACAGTAGTGACAGTGTGGGGTACAGTATTGGGAAGAGTGTGGGAACAACATAGGGGACTGTGTGGGAACAGCATGGTGACAGTGTCAGGGACAGTGAGGGGACAGTGTCAGGAACAGCATGGGGATGGTTGGGGGACAGCACATGGAAAAGTGGGGGACAGTGGGGACAGCATGGGTACAGGGACTGGAGACAGTGTGGGGACAGTGTGCCGAAAGTGTGAGGATGGTGGGGGACAACATGCGAGACAATGGTCAGAGTGGGGACAGCATGGGGCATGACATGGGGGACAGCATTTGGGACAATATGGAGACAGATTGGGGACAGCATGGGACACAGCATTGGGGAAAAAGCGGAGAAAGCAAGAGGAGCAGCATGGGGCACAGCATTGAGGACAATGTGGGGACAGCATGGTGACTGTGTTGGGACAGCATGGAAATGACATGGGGACGGTGTGGGGACAGCATGGGAGCAGTGTCAGGAACACTGTGGGGGCTGTCAGGGACAGTGGCGGAGTCAGCATCAGGGGCAGCATGGGGACAGTGTGGGCCGACCTTGAAGAAGGTGACGGTGGCGCTGTAGCACACGCTCAGCAGGAAGAGTGTGATGAAGATGGTGATGGTGGTCCACAGCCCATCCAGCTCCCCGTCCTGGGCCTGGGCACAGCTCTCGTCCAGGTGCAGCTCTGGACAGGGAGGGGGTGGTCAGTGTGGTATACCCTGGGCTGAGCCTCTGGGGGCACTTCCCTCTGGCAGGGCCCAGGACAGAGGACCCTGGCTGGGCTGACACTGTCTGAGGTGGATCCCTTGGGCCTCTCTCCCTCGGCACCAGCCTCTGCCCCTAACTCCTTCAGCTTTTGCCCCAAGGCTCAGCTAGAACCCAGCGATGAAAGGTGGCCTGGCTCCCTCTTCCTTGTGTCCCAGCCCCGGCAGGGAGTGGATCTGTATCTGCCCACCCTGGCCCTCTGCCCCGTCCCTGGCACCCGGGCCCAGAGGACAGGAAAATGGTGAAGCATGTCCCTGTTGCAGTCCCCACTGTGAGGAAGGGCAGTGTGAAGAGAAGTGACCTCAGGCTGGGATAGTGATAGGGTTTGTGTGCCCCTGTGTGGGGTCAGTCTGGGCATGGGATGTGTGTGTGTGTGGGTGCTGGGCCCCTTGTCTGAGCAGCCTGTGGGCCTTGAGGTGGGATTGGGATGGGATGGCCGTTGGGGGAGTGCTTGTGTGAGTGGGCCTTGCTCAGGGGCCACTGGGGCACCCCTGTGTTAAGCATGTACACGTGTGTGTGCCATGGAAGCAGGTACATGCGTGTTTGCCATGGCGGTTTGGGTTGGCCAGGGCTCAGCAAGAGGGGCTTGTTTTCAGGGGTCTAGGTGCAGTTTCCACGTGGGTGTCTTAGACAGTCCCTCCCTGGAGCAAAGGTTTGGATGTCCCTGTGAGTGGGTAGTGTCCCCACGGTGGGTAACCCTGACTCCATGCAGGGTCAAAGCTGGCAGAGCTGCCTGAGCTGAGTGCTGCCAGGGCCAGGGGGCCAAGAGGCGGCTGTCCCGACACTCACAGCTAGGTGTGTCCCTGTGTGGACAGGGACCTGCAGACAAGAACAGGCTCCTGCAGAGACGGACTGTGTGCTAGTGTACTCGGGGGGCTCCTGGGGCTTCTTTCTGCCCAGCCCAGGGTAGTGCTGACTGGAGGGAGGGCCAGGAACAAAAGACTCCCCTGGCAAGGCTTCCCTGCCCCCACTGAGCGGGGGACCTGCACACCCTGGGACCTGGTCGTGTGGAACCCACTGTGTCTTCCTCATGGCAATCAGACCCCAGTCTGGCCTGCCCCGTGGAAAGAACCACCAGTCTCGCAGGGGCCCAGGGCAGTGCTGGGTGCTTTATTTCCATGCTGGATGTTGGGAGTATGTACACGGGGGTGAATGTTAGGCATCCTCACGGGGTCCTGAGAACCAGGGTCTTAGAGGGCATAGTGCTCATTTACCCGGAGGCCGGGAAAGGGACCTCTGCGTATGGTGGTTGTGCAGAGCCTCATGCATCACAGAGCACGTGAATAGGCTCTTCGCATCCCATCTTTTCTTGTCCACACGGAGCTTGCTGTAGAGGAAGTAGTGGCCATTGCTGTCTAGCACGGGCTGGGTATTCTTGTAGTCTTTCTCCACCTGTCCATTGCTTTCCCACTCAACACTGATGTCTAGAGGGTAGAAGTCAGTGACCAGGCAGGTTATGCTGACATGGCTCTTGCTCATTTCCTCCTGGGATGGGGGCAGGGTGTACACCTGTGGCTCACGGGGCTGCCCTGTAGGGACAGAGGCCAGGACAGAAGTCACTCCAAGAGCAAGGTGGGCTGAGCTGGCCTTGTTTGTGGGACCAGTGAAAGTCTTCTGCCCACAACCCACCAGCCCACCACTCCTACCTTTGACCTTGGAGATGGTTCTCTCGATGGGGGCTGGGAGGGCTTTGTTGTTGACCTTGCACTTGAACTCCTTGCCTTTCAGCCAGTCCTGGTGCTGGACAGGGAGTTCGCTGACCACACGGTACGTGCTGTTGTACTGCTGCTCCCGTGGCTTCGTCTGGGCCGTGTGCGTCTCTACGCCATCCACGTACCAGGTGAACTGGACGTCGGGTTCATCCTGGCTCACGTCCACTACCACACATGTGACCTTGGGGGTCAGGGAGATCATGAGGGTGTCCTTGGGTTTTGGGGGGAAGATGAAGACTGACGGTCCTCCCAGCAGGGAGCTACAACCTAGTTGGGGGAGATGGGGCGATCATGTCAGCACCTGGGGCGGGGCCTGTCCTCTGACTCAAGCTGCTCTGGGGCCCCTCATCCCCCTTCTTGGAGGGCCAGGTCCAGGTTGACTTACACGAGCACTTGGAACAGTCCCCCTCTGGCGGCTTACTGGAGTATTCTGCAGAGAGAGAAGATGGGGTTTACTGGGGTCTAGGCAAATAGAAAGTGTCCAGGCTGAGGTGGGGAGTGTGTGGCCATTGGGGTGGTCTTAGGTCAGGGCCAGTTCCTCCCAGGTGTGGATCTTGGCGGGGCTGAGAACAGAATCCACCTCTGTGTGCCTGGAGCCTGGGGCAGGGGCATCCAGTCAGTGCCCATCCTGAGTCTGGCAGAAGCACCCAGAAGATTCTCTCCCTGAGCAGGAGAGGCACTGGCAGAGTCTCCAGGTGGAGAGGGGTCACCATCCTGGCTAAGGCCACCCAGCTGTGGCCCATCCAGGCAAAGGGCTGACCTCAAGCCCATCTCCCGGTGGATGCCCTCCTGCACCGGGCTGTCCTCTCACCAACTTTCTTGTCCACCTTGGTACCGCTGGCCGTGTGAGCTACATTGCAGGTGAAAGTCTGACTGCGCAAGTTGCCGGCAGGCACGGTCACCATGCTGCTCTTGGAGTAGAGCCCCGACAGCAGGACTGGTGGGAAGTCGTGCACGCCGCTGGTCAGGGCGCCTGAGTTCCATGTCACAGTCACGGGCTCA